TCAAATTTTTCAGGCGGAAATTTCCGGAGGTCATGTGATATTCCGTAAATCGACGCCTAATTAAATTTCCTGATGTAACTACATTGCTAATATTCTTCATAACAATTTTGATTGGCATTGTATTATTAACAAATATCTTTTGAAGTTTATATCATTTCATTTTGATCGACATCAATATCTTTCAAAATTTATCATATCATTAATTATTATTTTAAATTTTTTTCAAAGGTTAATGTTTTTTTTGTTTGTGCAACAAGATCAGTTATCTTATATGATTTATTATTTAACTATATATTCTTTTGTTTATTTTCAGAATAATTACTTTACTCTCTCTAAACAATTCATATGAAATTCTTCGAAAAGAAATAAATTTATATCTTCATATTTTTGTTATTGTTATATCAAAATACATCAAATAAATTGCAATAATTTAAAATATATTTAATAATATTTATTGGCTTGTGTTGACTTTATTTTATAACTTAATAAGTGAATAAATATATTTTATACTTTGTTTACTTTCAGAAATATCTCATTAACTTTAATATATACTTATAAAATACTTTGAAATGGTAATATATATTAATAGAATATCTTCGAAGAGATAAAAACTAATAAGTTATTGGTAAAAAAATTTAAAATTTTTCTGTATAATTTAAAGATCTTTTTTTAAAGAATTTATTTTTTAAATAATTATATTAAGGTTTTATGTAGTAGATTAGAATCATAACAGGTTCTCCTTTTGTTAACATATGCATAACAATAATATAAGTATTCAAACTATTTATTTGAAAAATTAATTTACTTTGAATCATAAAATGTTGTAATATTTAAGTATATATAAGTATTTTGAAGATATACAATGTAATATATTCTGATGGTTCAAATAATAAAAAATTCAAATTAATAATATTAACTTTAATTATTATAATAGAAAATTTATAAAAAATTTGAAAGAAATTTGAAAAAATCTTAAAAAAGTAAATAAATATTTTTCAAACTTTTGTAAAATTACAAAAAAAACAAAATAAAAGCTAAAATATTGTTATCTTTAAAAAAGAATAAAGACGAAAAGAAGTATCATATAATATAATATTACAAAAAATAGAAACTTGCATCATATTTAAAAATTATATAAAAAATAGTTCTCTAAATTATTGTATCATTATATGAAAATATATAAAAAAATAGAAAAAAATTGTTATAAAATATTTATTATTATCTTTTAATAATAAAATTAATAATAAATTATGTAAGAATTCAAAAAGTAATAAAATATTACAAAATAAAATTTTTCATAATATATATTGAATTATAATAAAAATGATTAAATTCGAAATAATTCAAAAATAATAAACTTGAAACAAAATACATTAAAATACTAGCTGTTGAATTTTGAAAGTTTATGTTATTGTCAAAAAATTTATTATTGAATTTCTAAGATTTTCAATAACGAAATAATACATATTAAAATTTAACCGTTAAATTTTGATTTCGAAAGGTTATGCCACAATCGATAACTTTCGAAATCCAATGTTGTGATATAATTTCGAAGATTTTTGAATTAATATAATTACTGATATATAATATGGCTACATAGTTAAGTAGAAATAACTTACATTAAGTGAAAATAATATAATTATATTATTTTCACTTTATTGATAACTATTATTAATATATTCTTTTTTTTTAATTTTTTTTAACAAAATAATAATTACTTCTCAATTTTTGATATTTTTTATATATATTCTAATTAATATTATTAAAAAAATTTTTCTTATTTCTTATTTTATTATTTTTTTTTAATTTACTTAATTTTTTAAATAAAGTATAAAAAACAACTATAAACTTTAATTAGAATTAAATATAAGAAATTTTTTTTAACAAAATAAAGTAATTATTCAATATTTTAAAATAAAATAAAATATTACAAGATTTTTCTTTTTTAAAATCATAATTTTATTTTTTTTATTTTTTAATTTATTTAATTTTCAGTCAAAATATAAAGAATTAATCTTTTTTTTTTTTAATTTTTTTTTTTTTTTGTTTCAGTGAGGTCTTGCCTCAAATTTATTAATTAGAAAAAGAGAAAGTTTTTATATTATATAATACAAAATACACAACTTATTCTAATGTTTGTTAGAAAAGATGAGACTCGAACTAACTCATGAAAGATGAGCCTATAACCTATCACCTATCTTTTTTTTTTAATTTTTAATAGTTAAATAAATTTAAATTTAATAATTTAATTAATAAATTATTCAATAATTTAATTAAAATAATTTAACTAATAAATTATTCAATTACAAAAAGAATATTTATATATTTTTATTTTTTTTTAACTAATATTTTAAAATTGACTTTATAATTAAAAATACAATAGTGGTTATTTATATTATTATTATTCCTTATTAGCATAATATAAAAAAAAAAGAATAATCTATTTTTTTTATCAAATAATTCTTGATTACTAATTGGATATTGTTATATGATTAAAAACGCACCTATTTTAGTAATTTTAATATTTTTCTAACTTTGGTATAAATTTTTACCTATTTAAGATGTCACTGATTGTTTATTTTGTTTTGTTGATCGTCCCATTTTTGTCATATGATTTTGATCTGTGACATAACAAATTCCTTAAAAAGGGTTGTTGTCAGCACAATTTTGCCTAGATAGTCGTACATGCATTAGCCAATCAAGCTGTAAGTGTTCCACTCCTCTCTCCCTTTTCGGTACTTTTTTTTCCGTAAGTCAAATCATGGTACATACCACAAATACTGCGAAGTCTGCAAAAACAACTTCAAAAAATAAACAAGTAAATAATAAAGTCAACAAAACTTCTAAAAAGGAAACAACACCTAAATCAGAAATTAAACCAACAAGAAAAATGGCCACTCCACGATCAAGAGGCCGTGGTAAACGCATAAACAACACACCTACTCGTTCTTCACCCCGGATCGTGCGGAGATCCGCCTCATACCCAAACGCTGTTAATAGACATTTCGTCGACAGTATTCCCATCCTGGAAATTACCCTTCGATTTGATGAGGACGAGTATGATGTCTGGAGAAGACAAGATACGGATGAAGTAAATCTTTATTATTTGTTACGCATTAAATATCCCCGAGACGAAGACGAAGAGATGTGGCTTCGGGAATTAGAAAAGCTAAAAGAAGAAATAAAGGAAATTCGAATTATTGAAGATGGCTGGTTTGAAGGAGTCTGGTAAATAGCAATTTTTATGTTTGTTTACATATAATGTTTTATTATATGATATATTATTATTTTTAATTTTGATTATTTTTTTATTTTTATAACTTTAAGGGTTCCGCTTGAACGAGGTATGCACTTTACATACTTTATATGCTGTACTCTTTTTAAGTTTTACAATATATGCATCGTACTTATCAAAAATAATCATTTTTAGCGAAAGATATTGCTCAAAAATATAATATATATGAACACGTCGCTGCATTATTAGAATCAGAAAATAGTTGGTTTGATACTCCCAAAAAGCAATCTTCAAAAAGCAAGGTTGGTTCTCGAATAAGTGTATGTCACATCCAAATATTTCCAAAAACCTTTTTTTTTAAAAAAAAAAAGATTCTGACTTATTAACTAAATTTAGAATAATGATCGTGGAACGCCAACCGTGACTCCATCACAAAAACCAGAAAACGAAGTTCAAACAAATGGTACTTCTGCAATCCCAAATAACCGCTCAATTTCAACGAGCAATACTTTACAGCAGAATGGCAATGTTAAACCTGAAAGTGAAAAAAGTGAAAATAAAACCCCAAGAAGAACTTCAGCAAGATTACATCCTTCCCAAGTCAAGCCAGAATCTTCAAAACGTCCCAGGGAAGTTGAAAAAGAACGCGATAATTATAAGGAAGAAGTACAAAGTTTGAAACGAAAAATGGACGAAACAGTAGAATATCTAAATTATAGCGGAAGCAACAAGAGACGTGCGCTTTGGGCAGGTATTGGAGCGGCAGTTGGTGCGGGCATTGCGGCTGTTACTTTAAGCAGTCTGGGCGTTGGCGTTCCCGACATAGCAGCTGGCGTGAATGCTAGTTTTAATGCTGTAGCAAGCTCGATAAGCAATTTTCTTTAAAGACGACAGAGTTAAGCGAACAACCCGGAACTCGATTATTACCATACCATTGTTCAAAATTTTCTTTTTCTTTTTCTTTCACGACACGTATTGATTATTCCTTTATTAAAAAAAAATTAAATCATTTTATCTATATCATAATGATATTATCCGAATTTTTATTAGACTTTGAAAGGGGTTCAATGGCAATGAAACGGGAATATTTAGCAAATTTTTCATTGTAAATTTTTTATATACGTACATATATGTTTAATTTTGCTTTATATTTACCATTTATTATCGTGCGATGCTCTTTTTATCTTTTTATCTCTATTATCATATATATAAATATTTTTTTAACAAAACCCCTTCCCATCTTTATTTGCAAAAAAAAAAACCAACGTGTTTCCAAGTTTGTCTAATATGTCTGCATTTATTCTTTGGTAGATGATATCCCCAACATCCTTATTATATGACATATTTGTTATTCGTTTTTTCATAGTAGTTTTTGGTCTGGTATCAAATTAAAAGAGTGAAAAAAAATAACTAAATATTTGTTTATTACTCTTATTCAAAAATCAACCTGTTACCAAGCGGCTTGATCTTGGTATAGAAATGTAATATTGAAGGGTTTTACTACAAGACAAGATTGTGACAAATTCATGATTTATTATATTTATATAATTTGAAAAATATTCCTGATGTCATAAAATTTGCAATTGAATATACAAAGTATCTCGATATTCTTGCATTTAGAATGTTTTAACCAATGAAATTATTTAGGGGAGAAGTATGTGTAATTTTTGTAATCAGAATTGAATTATCAATAATAGAATATATATATTTCATTCTTTTTGGCCAATTTTAATGTAAATGGAAAATTGTTACAAATTTACAAAGTTGTATGAAATTTTACATTAGATTATCAACGTGATACAAAATTTATAAATAAATTGTATATTTTCCTATAATAATCACAAAATTACAATTAATTTAAATTGATATAAATTTTTGATTATAATATAAAGAGTGAAGTTAAAAAAATTATAAAATAAATCTAAAAATTCTAATTTGTATGTAAATTAATAATATGTAATTTGATATTTATATTATACAGTAGAACCTGTATATAAGCATACTGTCAGGCCAGCAAAATCCAATGCATATAGACTATACATGTTCCCAAAAAAGATTTTGGATTTTTGAGGTATTTTGACTTTTTGAGATTTATGCAGAAGTTATTCTATATATAGAAGTAAAAAAAGTATCCAGTTATGTGTATATTCAATCAAAGAATAAATCTAGGTGGTCAAAAAATTTCAGGTTTTAAGTAAAATAATTTTGTCTTCTATGAAAAACTATTCCAACTTTTTTCTCCAAAATTACAATTTCAGGATCCCAAAAGAATTTTACATGCAAGTATAATATAGACAGGTTATACATATGTAAGTCATTGATGTCACAAGAAATTTTTATAACAAGAAAGTTGTATTTTTTTGTTAATAAAATAAAAATAATATTTTTACATAAAGAATGGATAAATAGTAAATGAATTAATAAAAGAACAAATAAATAAATGGAAGAATGGACAAATAGACAAATAGAAAAACAGAAAAATAGATGAATAAATATATAATTAATAAAAAGACAAATGACAATAGATAAAATAATAATAAAATAATAATAAATTTTACATATTCTGATACATGTGATTATGCTTATATATAATTATATAATCTAGAATTTTTTTATGCATATACATGTTATATGTATGCTTATAACTTATATGGCTTAACTCGGACCATAAAATTTTATGTACTTAAGTAAGTTATACTTATATGCAGTATGCTTTTATACAGGTTCTACTGTATAATTTTATTATTTATGCAATTTTCTATTCATCCATTGAAATTAATATATCTTAAGTAATTAAAATTATAATTTTCAAAATAAATTAATATTTATAACCCTTGATCCTAAGTTTATAAATATTGTGACTTTAACTTAACTTGATCTATAATTTGAATTGGATACAAAAATTTATATAGGTTTATTTTAAAATTAATTATTACTATATAAAATATTCAAAAGTATTTAAAAAAAACTTAAAAGAATTATAATATATAATATATACAAAAAATAAAAGATAAGAGTAAAAACTATAAATAGTTGTAGAAAATAAGAACTAAAATAACAAGTAAAAACTATAAATAGTTATAAAAAATAAGAACTAAAATAACAGTTACTAAACAATAATAATTTTTTTAAATATATAGAGATTAATTAAAAAAGTCAATTATCTTAAAATTTATATAAATAAAAAACAATTTATTATATTAACTCTAGGTTATTTTTATAATACTTTATTATATAAATAAAAGCTTAACTTTTATTTAATACATCAGGAATTAAATAAAAACATTTTACAACACTGTATAAACACCATTTATATAACATTCTTAAAACAGTACTAACATACTAGAACACAATGTTTTAGTGTATTATTTGAATATTTTGTACTTATAGTATACTAAAATACAGTGTTTTAGTGTATTATTTGAATATTTTATATTTATAGCATACTAGAATATAATATTCTAGTGTATTATTTGAACATTTCATACTTATAACATATTAGAATACAATGTTTTAGTGCATTATTTGATTATTCTGTAATTATAAAATATTAGAATACTTCTATAAAATTACTAATGTATTTTGACTATATATTTTTGTCACCTATCAAATAAAATAAAAAAACTGATAATTTTTACTGTATATAATAAAAATAATTTGTAAAGATTTAAATAATCAAAACAGGTATAGAGATATAAATACAAAATATAGTCAGAAACAAACAAACAAAATAAGGAGATTTGTTAATTATTTGAATTAAAAATTTGTCAATTTTTAATCATTTAACAAATATATAATAATTTATTAAAAATTAATTAAACACATTATCATATATTTCAAATCTATAATTTATTATGTTTTTTTTTTTGAAATTTAATATAGTTATTAGTTTTTGTTTTTATTTAATCTAATTTAATAATAAAGAAGAACTTAATTACACAAATCAAATATAAAGAATTTTGTATCAAAAAGAAATTCTTATTTTAGTTAATTTATAATATAGAATACAATAGAGTAATTAATTTTTACTAATTTTTAGCTGATCTATAATTTAGGAATTACTATTTGGTATAGTGATTTTTTTTGTATTTGATTAGTGTTAGTAGTTAAAAATGTATTGTATATATTTTATTTATTTTATTTTATTTATATTTGTATAAGAACTAAATAATTTTATTAATAATAATTAAAATATATATATAAATTATTAACAACATCAGAAATTAAATAAAAACATTTTACAATGAACATTGTTTATATAATATTCTTAGAACAGTACTAACATATTAGAATACAATGTTCTAGTACATTATTTGAATATTTCATACTTATAACATACTAAAATACAGTATTTTAAAGTATTATTTAAATGTTTTATATTTATAGCATATTAGAATATAATGTTCTAATATATTATTTAAACTATAGCTTATTAGAACATAATGTTTTAGTGCATTATTTAAACATTCTGTATATAGTATACTAGAATATCTCTATAAAATTCCTGATGAAAATAAGTTTAAAAATATATTAAATTTTACAAATAAAAATTTTTCTTTTTATATAAAATTATTTCTAAATTTATCTAGATTTAAAAGCAATTAAATAATTATATTGTATATATTAAAACTATTAAATATAATCAGATACAATTGATACAATTGATATAATTATTTGATTTAATTATATAGATATAATTAAAATTTCAAGAATAAATTATACTTATATCTGAAATTAAATTTTATTTAGTTTTAAAGAACAAAATAAAACAGGAAATAAAATAATATTATAGATGTTCAAATTATTTTATTTAAAACTTAAATTTTTTAATTACTCAAATTATACTTGTATATAAAATTATTTTGAAGCCCTGAAATTACAATTTTGAAAAAAAAAGTTCAAATAGTTTTTTATAAAAGATGAAATTATTTTATTTAAAACCTGAAATTTTTTAATTATTCAGATAAATTCTTTAATTAAAAATATACTTAACTAGGTATTTTTTTACTTTCATATATAGAATAGATTCTGTATAAATTTCAAAAAATGAAATATTCCAAAAATCAAAAATTAATTTTGGAAACATGTATAACTCAAATAAATTTTTTAATTAAAGTATATTAGATAAATACCTTTTTTACTATTATATATAAAATGATATTATATTTCAAAAATTTCAAAAGTCAAAATATAGTTTTATTTTAAAAACATATATAAATTGAGTAAAAATTTTTTACTTTTGATAATTTAATTATATTATTAATTTTATTATTATATATTTGTTTTGTTTTTTATTAAGTTTCTATTATAATAATTAACTAGATTTTATATTAAATACAAATTAAGTAAATATTGATTTAAAATTTAGCAAATATTATATAATAAATTTATATATATAAAAATATTAAACATAATAAAATCAAAAAATTAACTACTTTAAAAATTCATAATATATTATCTAAATTATTTTGATATAATAAATAATTTAAAATTTGAAAATTGAAATTGTAAAAATTTAATAGTAATTTGAATTTGTATAGTATATTACATTATATATATATATATTTTAACTAAAGAGTATTTTTCAATTTTTACTTAATTAAAAATTTTTGAATTAATTTATTTATATTAAAATTAAATTATATATATTAATAATTTATACTACAAATATAATAAATATAATAAATATTAAAATAAATATGGAAGTATATCTTGTTAAATAGAATTCATCTTTATAAAAATTTAATAACTGTATAATAATAATATCAGAAATTTTAAAAAACATTTTAGTATACTATAAATATGAAACATTTAAATAATGTACTAGAATATTATGTTCTAATATATTATAAATACAAAATATTTGAATAATACACTAGAACAGT